TCTCTGGAAGTGTTCAAAAAAACATGTGGGTGTGGCACTTTAGGGGACATGGTGGCACTGGATTAATGGTTGGACTTGATCTTGAAGGTTCTTTCTAACCTTAGTGATTCTGTGATTCTGAAATAGGACAACTACAGACATGTTCAGTTTTAGAACATGGTTCAGGACATGATCAGCTTTTCTCATGCCCAAATAAGCTTTTTCTTAACATTGTGAGAAACTGGTACTACCTCAGTCCAGGAACAAGTTGTTAGAGTTTTGATGCTTTTCAAATCAATACGTAGAAAATAAGCAATATGAACTCACCAACAGCCATGGAATTGTCTTTTCACGGAAGTTACCCCATTTAGAGGCATCTGAAGTGTCAATTCAGTAACAGAGGAAGCTGCTTTAAGCACATTGACTGCTAGGACTTGTTATCCTGTGTAACTAATTGATCTTGGCATACAAATGACCTTCAAATACTCAGGCATGCCCATCTTGTCCTATGTACAGGCTACATGTTATATCAGAGTAGTTCCACTGTCACTGCAAGGTGAGAACCTAGCAGCCCACTACCCAGTGTTTGTACAGATGCTTGGTGCTAGCAAGCACTGATACAGGTCTCAGCCTTGTACCCCAGCTGCAAGTGCAAAGTTTAACAGTACCAGATTGTCTCCAGCCATCAACTTCCATAGCAAACCAAACAGAACAAAATAAACAAGGCAGAGCAGCTTTAGAAGCCTCACAGTGAGAACAGAGGACTCATGCCTGCCCCAACCACCATCCACTATTAAGACTCCAGATCAAGCAGTGAAAACCAGAGAGACAAGACATTCCTGCCTTCTGCCTGCCCAAGGGAGGAAGCATCACATGCTGCTCCCCTATTTGTCAGGCTACAGGACTGCACCATGCTCTCAGAGCAAAGCATCATCACTTTAAATACTTACCTAGCTTAGCCTGCTAGTGCTGGCCAGGAAATTCAGAAACAGTGAGCCAAATCCAGTTCAAATTAGTACACATTTAAGAGGGTTTGGTTTTTGACATACCAGAAGTGTTGAATGTTTCCAAAAAGACAGCTGGAAGCTGGATGTCAGTCAGTAGTTGTAATGAGTGAAGCTCTTCTCTCCCCACTTATGCCTACAAATTCCACCCACTCCCTTGCAGTATCATCAGTTGTGCTACAGTGTGACAACCTGGCTTACAGAGCCAAAATGGAACTTCCCTGAGCTTGTTTTCCCTCAGGGGGAGCAGGATTTAGCAACATCTGCTTCAAGTCAACAAGCTGTTATGGAGCCAGAACCTAAAGAATAAAAATTTGGATTCCCACAAGTACAGTCTGTGTAGCCACACTGCTCATCTACCTCTACAGCCATAGAAGAGTTCCTCCCAAATTACCTGAAGTTGCTTTCCCTCCCAAGTCATTATTTATCCTTAGAGGCCAAGAGCCATTCTAGAGCATGATTATTTATTGTCCATTTTAGGGAATACAAAGGCAGCTTTACAAAGAGGTGGCTAGTAGTCATTACCGCAGTGAATTTTGTTATAACCTGTACACTGTAAATTGAAACCTGCAAGCAGATATAAACTGTAAGAGACAAACTGTTCTTCCAAATCACTCAGCAAGATAAATGCCTCACTACAGCTCAAACACATTCCAGTATAGCCCTATAATCTGTCACTGACTACTTCCAGGACATATCCAGGAATAAGAACCTTAAACTTAGCTGGCAGTTCTGGAACCGATGTGGCTGCTTAAACAGTTGAAGGCAAACTGTTCCTCCTGCTTTACAGGAAAAGTGAATACAGAAAACCACAACTTTGAAGTGATACAGAGGGGACAAAGATGCAGCTCAGGACTACTGGCCAGATAAGGAATAGTCTGTGTCATTTGAAGTAAGCATTTAGAGAAATGTATTTCATATAGAATGTTCTTTGTCAATTGGAACTGCATGCTTCCCTCTCCTCCACCAAAGTAGTGGAGCATTGGTGGAAAAGGGGAGCCATGTAAGACTCTGTAATGATGACATTTTTGAGAAAATTCAGATGTCTGATCCATAAGGCAGAAGGTAAGGTGTCTAACAGACTTAGTCCTTCAGCTGGGAGACTTCATAGAGGTATGCACCAAGCATCTTCACCCCCTGGATGTAGTTGTACCTGGAAAGAAGATGCTTCCATTAGAATGGTCTTGAGCTGTATTTCTAGCAGTTGTGCTTTTTGCAGTATCAGTTCTACATACACAGACACTACAGGCATTACTGTTGCAGGCAACAGGCACTACTGCCAACCTCCCTGCATCTACCCCAGCAAGAGATAAATGCCACCCTTGGGGTAGGGAGTAGCCAAGCTTGGAGACCAAAGTATACAAAACTGCTTCTAGTTTCAGGTGTCTAAAACCAGAAACAGTAACAAGATCAAGATTCAGCTACAGACTAGTTACCCAATCAGTCATTCTCTGCTAGGGAGAAATGGTACTTTGCCTTCCAAAGTATTAAAGAAAAATCAAGAGCTCAATTCTTCTTGGTCCTTTTCATAACACATGCCAAGACCCACAGTACAACTCAGCCTGGCACAGGGATAAATATTCTCTTACCTATTTAGCTTCTCATTTTGAGAGTGGGCACCATCATCTGCAGCTCCAACAGGAAGGAGCATGACATTCTTGCCTGTTGCTTCTTGAAAAGTAAGGGTAACAGGAATGCTCCCTCCCTCCCTCGTCAGGTCTGGTTCAACTCCAAAAACTAGAACAAAGTGATACTCTAGTCAGTTTGGAATTGTATTTTTTCCAACACAGATCGTTACTGCTGCTTAAGCAATCAAGTACCAACCATTTCTGTACCATGTGCTGACCATATCTTGCTCTGTTTTAATCATCCAGATGTAGATGTTGCAGAATTGTGGCATTTGCCCCCAGATGTAGTGAAGTACTGCCACTTTCAGAGTTCCGTTACACAAACAATACTTTATCCAGAAGCCTGTTTGTACTCCACCACAGAAGTTAGATTTGCTCTAGTTGCCCTAGCGTAACTGATTAAGCTTTGAGGGCTTTGGCTAGGCGCGTGATCTGAACTGACAGTCTCATCCTTATGCAAAAGCAACACCATACCAATGGACTTGTTCCAATACAGTAAGAATTAGCTTGACATCAAGTTTCTTTCTTTCCTGTACCTCTGACAAGTTTAAGGATTGCACATGACATAGTTCATTACTTTATGAACCAAACTTATGACGTAAGTGCAGAACACCAAGTATTCTGCAAACATGTCCTCCGCACTATTTCTTGAGGTGCTGGAACTAGAGCTCTTTAGCCCTCCCAAAGACAAACGAAAAACCCACTGACCTGTCTTCATGGCCCTTCTACCAGCCATGTAGTGGGGATGGTTGAAGTCTGACACCCAGGGTTTTCCACCATGGCCTAAGTATACTCTGAATTTGTTGGGGCTCTGCAGCTCTGCAAATTTTTTGCTCACATAGTCTTCAACCTATAAGAAAGATTGAACCATTAACATTTGTATGAAAGACAGTGTACTAAAAGACAGTGATAAAGACAGTATACTAAAAGCATCTTAGGGATTTGCAGATCACTACTACTGTGCAACAATACTTTTCCTGTTGCTACTATTTCATCTTATTCCTATGTACCTCTGCTCTGAAATCAGAATATCTCCTTTATGCAAGTTAACAGTATACTGTAGAACAGTTAGCCAATACATCAAACTCTCATGCTTTTGAATACGCACTTCTGGTAATCCAAGTGCCCTACAATTAAATTAGCATTTACTCCCAGGCCCTTTCTTCAAGCTAGTTGAGAGAAACTGAATAGCCAGGCCACAACAGACCAGTGTGGGACCATACAGCAACTCCCTAAACTGAGTTGAGGTGCAGAACAGGGAAGATGGTAGCAAAGTAAATAAATTGAACTGCTTTGGAAACGAGAAATACTCTTGCCCCAGGCACAGAGAACAAGAGAAGTTTAGAGACATTAGTTGGTTTGAGACTCAGTCCATCTCAACATACACGCTTTGTGACTTCTTCAGGAGTCATGTTTGGCACAAGCCTGATTGAGAACTTGCCAATCACTTTCCTAGGAATCACAGTCTTGGCTCCAGAGGCTGAGAAGGCTCCTTCAATTCCATGGAGAGACAAGGAAGGGTATCTCCACCTATGCATAAGGATGTCTTTCTGAAGAAGCAAAGGGAAAGATGCAAGTTTACATAAAGCTTGACAGAGTTCCCCAAAGTAATAATTTCTTCAATCTAATAAAGACTCTGCAAGAAACAGTGCTTTCTCCCATGGACAAATGCAGTTCATTCAAGACTGCTCAGTTAAAGAGAAGCTGGCATTTCAGCACCTTAAGAGATTCAGTAGCTCTAGTTTGGCTTCCTCCTAGTTCTATGGAACTTACAGGACATGACCAGTCTGCTTCAGACAAGGACACAAATACCATCTATAAGATGCTCAGGTACAGTTTGCAGGGACTGTATTGGAAGCTCTAGTCCCCACTGTCTCAAGTCAGGCAGGTGCCTTCATCACTGAGTCACATGCTTGTGAAGATCACAAGTTTTCCAAAAGCCTCACCACTGGGCAGACTGAGGCACAACATGCTTCTGCCATTCATATCAGTTGCATTAAACTGGCTGAACTCTGGGTTCATTAAAGTGAGCCCTATCACCTACCATTACTAGGCCACTTCAGATACACTTTTGCATTTCCTCCTTGTTGCCTTGGACACAGCTGTTCAGTACACTGGATACTGTGAATGCAACATATTTGTGTCCTGTACAGACAGCTACAGTATCTCAAACCTGACCTTTACCACCAAGACACAGGAGATTTAGAAATTTTATGGGCTTTTATGTTAAGTTTGTTTTGTTCCAGGTACAACCTGCCTCTAATCTTCTCTCAAAGAGAATTTAACTGTTACTGTTCAAAACTTTCAAGCACATCGTTTCTCACCTGGAGATTACTTCTTCACCCTAGGACCCTTCTTGCATGCATGCAGCTTAGTTAGAACTCCCTTGGTAAGTTCAGCTAGGATTTCAGTCTAGCTAAGACTGAACAGCTTCAGTTCAGTATTGTATATGAAAAACATCTTGCCAGCTCCTTTTTATATAAAAGTTACTTCATTTATTACTCTATAGGACAAGGCTAAACAACGAAGCTTGTGTGCTCTCAGCCGATATAAACCTGAGCATGTAAACACAAGGTTGAGAATATAAAATTTACTTATACCTATTTGAGTTGAGTCTGAAGTCTCCTCCTGACAGTACGAGGACAGAAGACAGACCTGCACATATAAACCTGTCTTTTACAACATTTATTCCTGCTTTTTTACAATAGATGTATTTATATCTAGGGTGTAACGCTTTAAAATTAGTAATACCTATACCTTGCAAGATTCAATGCTGTTAAAAGCATTCATTTGGAGAGCTCCCAGAACAAAGATCTGAGAAGTTCAGACATGAATTTGTTGAACTTAAGCCTGTTCAAAGATTTGTGCGAATGCCTAGTTTACGGCTACAAACAGTCCTTGCTTGTCAGGTCTAGGAAGATACTCAGTATGTCATCCTTCAGTTCATCACAGCTAAATCTCAAGCTGTTTTCTCACTTTATGAGAAGTCCTCTCTTTGAGCAACTGTATTTCTGATAACCTACTGAACTTCCCACAGATGCAAGAAGTCAGATGCTTTCTGTAGATGTGGTATCTGAACTCTGGAAAAGGTGCTAGCAGTTCTTATCTGGCATTAAGAAAACAGCACTAGATAAAGTTCTGTACAATTTTGAAATGAGACTTATATACAGACTTAGAAGCGAATTCAAAGTTGCCTAGACTGCTTGCCTTAAACATGGGATAACCTAGACCAAGTCTGCAAGCACTTAACACTTTGCAGAGGAACTGCTAGTGTTAAGTATAGAGTCAACTGTACCGTAGGTGAAATTACCTTCAAGGCAGTCTTGCCATTTTAAAGACATCAGGAGAATTCTCTGCCTACTGAATTAGTTACTAACTACACAGGTATCCACAGAAGCTTGTTTCTATCTCCTAATAGAGACAACTTGAACTTACACAGCTAACCAGTGAAGACAGGGAAGAATACAATATACCTTCGTATCATGCAACAGTTTTGTTGCTCCTACATCTTTTGCATATTCTTGCAAGTCAAAATCAATCTTCTCATACAGTGCCAGCTCCTCATCAGTAACAGGTGCCACTGCTTCATTAATGCCTGGGATGAGGATTTTCCCTTTCTTGTCTATAAGAGAACCTGTAAACAAGCACCCAATATTGGGATTCAACCAGAACAAGATGTCATTACTGGGAACACTTTCCACAGGAAATAGAAATCTTTGGCTTCTGAAAACTTTGTAAACATAATGAAATTCTGACCTCTACCTCCCAGAGCCTGTTCCACTAAGCATGGAAGGCACTTATGAAATTTGTAGCTACCCAAAATGTGCATTTCCTTCCAACTGTATTTAATTCTGCTGCTACATGTTTGGCTGACTGTTTGAGGGCAGGATTCTCAAGGAGTTTAATATGGCATCTGTAGAAGAGTTTGCAGAAAAGAGCTGATTTAATTAACATGCAAGTTTGCAGCAAGATTAAGGGAAGCTAAAGTAGATAGAAATATGATGAAGGTCTTGCCATGAAGTCTTCTATATCTAAGGCATCAGCCTGTTATGAACACCTGGCAAGCACCATTTCATTGGTCATTGCTTTGCTAGTATAAGCAGCCCTTAGGACCCCCCACCCCACAAATGCTTTAATAGAACTTACTCCCATTTTAGATGCTTTCAGTGACACCTGCTTTTTCTTACCCATTAGAGTAATGAGATCTGTCATGGCCTCATGTACTGAACCACCATAAACTCCAGAGTGAAGGTCTTTGTCACTACATTCCACCTGGTTTGAAGTGAATTAAGATTCAGGTTAATTTTAGCATGAACAGACTGTCAAATCCACAGACTTTTGCCCCAGCTTTTTGCTGCACCTATTTTGAGAATGCATCTGTTTTTGAAACCAGACCACTCAGTTGTAGTACATTAAAGCAGATATGCTTTTTATTGCTCTGGGGAGTACAAGCGCTGACTGTCCCAACCTTGGAGACTTCAGTGGTGACATCTCTTCCCACACTCAAGGAAATATCTGGATGAAGATATATATGCCAGGTGGGATATCCCACCTGTGGGACCTGGACAAGCTCAAGGAATGGGCCCATGTGAACCTCATGAGGTTCAACAAGGCCAAGTGCAGGGCCCTGCACCTGGGTTGGGGCAACTCCCAGGATCAGTACAGGCTGGGGGATGAAGGGATCAAGAGCAGCCCTGGTGAGGAGGACTTGGGGGTACTGGTGGATGAAAAGCTGGACATAAGCTGGCAATATGCACTCACAGACCAGAAGGCCAACCATTTCCTGGGCTGCATCCAAAGCAGCATGGCCAGCAGGTCAAGGGAAGTGATTCTGCCCCTCTACTCCACTCTGGTGAGACCCCACCTGGAGTACTGCATCCAGCTCTGGAGCCCTCAGCACAGGAAAGACATGGACTGTTTGAGTGGGTCCAGAGGAGGGCTGAGGGCCACAAAGACAGAGGGCTGGAGCACCTCTATGAGAACAGGCTGAAAGAGGTAGGGTTGTCAGCCTGGAGAAGAGAAGGCTCAGGGGGAGACCTGACTGCAGCCTTCCAGCACTTAAAGGGGGCTTATAAGAAAGATAGGAACAGACCTTTTAGCAGGGCTTGTTGCAACAGGACATGGGGTAATGGTTTTAAACTAAAAGAGGGTAGATTTAGACTACATCTAAGGAAGAAATTTTTCACAGTGAAGGTGGTGAAACACTGGCATAGGTTGCCCAGAGGGGTGGTAGATGCCCCATCCCTAGCAACACTCAAGGTCAGGTTGGCCAGAGCTCTGAGCAACCTATCTAGTTGAAGATGTCCCTGCTCATTGCAGAAGGGTTGGCCAAGATGACCTTAAGAGGTCCCTTCCCACCCAAAGGTTCTACAATTCTATGATAATCCTCCAGTGAAGGTGCTGGCTTACCTTGCTTCATACATCTGAAAGCTATCCCTCCCACCCAAGTATGATATGGGACAGTAAAAGGAAGATATTTAGACAGTTAGTAGAAACTGTTCTACTTCAGTCAGTTTCACCTTTTCTGAAAAAAGGTATCAGCATGAAAGAATTTGAGCTACTGCTCTTCTCCAGTAGAAAATTCATCTTAATAATACTGAGTTTGCAGTGTATTTCAACACTTACCTCTATGAAGTAGTAGCAGATACCCCTCAAGCCATAGGTGATGCAAGGCTTCTTCTTGCCTAGCCAGTAGTTGTCAGAAATGCAAACATAATCCACATCTTTAAAGAAAGTGTCTCGCTGAGCAAAAATCAGTTCATCAAGGCCTTCAGATCCTGATTCTTCCATACCCTCTAGGCAGAACTTAACATTTACTGGAAACTCCTTTGAAAATGAAAAAAAGAACAGATTAAGTATGTGAAAACATTGGACTCCTTCAGCAATCAGTAATTTTCATCTGTCATGTACAAAGCAGAAAAATGGATATGTTGGATGGACTAGTTCCATGATGGTGGAATTTGTTAATTACACACAAAGTATTACAAAGCTTGGACTGTGCTCACATTAAGGGCACTTACACCACCCTTCATCTGATGGAATTCAAACTCTTCAAAAAAGTTTTAACTAAGCTCTAGAACAGCTTGTTCCCAATCCTCCTAACTGTGGGAACGCAGCAGAAATCTGTTGCCAAAGGTAAGTCACAGGGCTAGGAAAACTAACATTGACCACAGAAATTGCATGCCACAGTAGGAGAGTGAGCTACCCAGTCTACCATATTCTATACCTAGACAGCACTTCAGAACTGCTAATTTTTCCTCACAACGAATAGCAACTTGTCTTGCAAGACAAAGCAGACATCCTGAGCTATTTCCAATTGCACTTTTCCTTGAACACAAACAGCAAAGCTCCCAATTTAGTGTTACCAAGTTAATCTCTTCTTAGAGCTCAGTGGCAGTAAGACATTAAGCTTTGCTAAAGGCCAAGCTAATTTGACATCCTTATATGAAAGTGATCATATTTGATTATTCCTCCTGCTCCAGATGCTTGCATATGTATTTTCCTTCCTACACATTGCGTTAAAGCCAAAATGTTTAAAGTGCAATCTAAGCATCTTCAAGACTAACTTGTCAGCAAGTCAACTCAGCCTTACTGGGACATCAGGGAATTTACAGGACTACTGCATCATTCCTCTGATCAGCTGAATAAGCAGGCTTGCCTCAAAGGTTTGTGGTTTGGATAACATTTATTGCTAGACTCAGCTGTATGTAATAAAGCAGGATACATTTTGGGCATATACCTGGTTAGTTTGTTGATAAGCCTCCAAGGCATTGAGCCAGGCAAGCACTGGACCTTTGTCATCCGTTGATCCTCGCCCATACAGCTTTCCTGCAGAAACAAGATATAAATTAACCACTGTAGAGAAAAATTAGGATGAAGCCTCAGTCATCTCTTGCCTGCAGAAGAAAGCATTCTTTTGGATAACCTTTTAGCCTGTTTATATTAACTTTCATTTCTGATTCTTCTGAAGCAGCACTTTTACATCCCACTTCATACACCCATGCAAGTGGGATAGGTACAGGACTGCAGTAGTTCTCCCACTTACAGAGCTACTCCACCGCTTCCCCCAACTGCTCCCTGGATAGGAGTTGAACAAACCTGGAAAAGATGTAACTGCCTTGGGCAGTTCCCATATCCTTCACAATGGTATCATTTTCCACAAACACAGCAGTAAAGGTATAGAAACAAGCTGCCTCCTTTTAACAGAAACATACCCAGTGTTAGCTTCAATTCAATAGTTCTTCATTTGAAGAGTAAAACTGCAGTAGCTAATGACCAACCACTTCTCTGGATTCTCCAGGTATATGTGAATCTCCCTAGAAAGGGCTTTAGACAAAGACAAGTTTCACAGGCTACAGGCAAGTACCAGATGTAGCACATGGGATCACATTAGGGGCAGATACTGCTGCAAGTCAGAGCTGTGGCTACAACCCCTAAGCACTAGGTGTAATCACAGTGACAGAACAGGCCAGACAGCTTGCAAGGTAAAGAGCCACTGGTAAATACACCTCCTACACTACCAGGCTGTGCAGAGATAAGCCACAGCCTGAGGCAAGCCTAGCTCTTGCTATCAGATGAGATAAACCAATTTAGTAACTTGGACTCTGCTGCCTATGATCAACTGCCCAGGTAGAAACACTAGTTACCACAGATAGTTCTTTTCTTGGCAATCATTAATGCTTATGCAACAAGAATGGTTAATGTCCTTCTATTCATATGACCTTTGACACTCAACACTGAGCAAATGAAACAAGGAAGAGGCTGTTAGTAGCACAGGTTTAAACAAAGAGAAAGTTTTTGACTCCTCTTGGCTACCAGCAATGTGTTGTTTCAGCAGGAGTTACTGCACAATTTCTTCATCCCCATTTATGGGAAAGGGATGCTTGTCTGGGCACTAGCTCTGTAAAATACAGTTTCTGCTGTACTCATACCACAGCATGCAAACACAAGGCAACCCAGGGAGGCTGCTGTACCACTCCTGTCTCCAGGCATAAACCCGCCACGTTGAGTATTTTCGCCCTGTAGTGGTTCAAAATCCCTGCAGTCTGACATGACTTTACAAGCTGCAAGTTGTGAACAGCACAAGAAACTTGTTCTGGAAAGCTTTCTGGCAACAAATTTTTACCATGGAAGGCAGCAGTTAAGACTGCTGTAGCTACAAGGAAGATAACATGCAAGCACAGTGTACACTATCAGAAAGGAAACAAGCCCTGAGAGCAGTGGAGATTTTGCAGCTCAACTTGTTTACCATTTCCCCTCCTGCATCTTTTATCTCAACAGTATTAAGCAAACACCCATGACTGTTCTTACTCTCCTTACCCCTTTCAATCAAGGGTACAACTTTAGAACAGTTGAGAAATACCACACTTGTCAAAGAAGTGCTCATCGGTTTGAGAAGTCCACTGCTCTTACCTTCTCTTTCTACCAGTGTGAAGGGCTCGCTATCCCAGCCGTCCTCTAGTGCTGCTGGCTGGACATCCAGGTGACCATATACACACACCGTCTTTTTGCATGGATCTGAGCCAAGTGTTCCCAAAACAATTGGCGGCAGAGGGATCTCTGATCCATCAGGCAGCTAGAAATGGGAGGAAAGACATTTTATTCAAATGTGGAATGTCAGAGTGGCACATTTTTATCAGATGGATGAATTACTTGAACATTATGGAGGTTATGAGATTAGGGGCATAGACAGCTAAACAAAACTAAGCTACTTAAGCCAATTCCCAGAAGCAGTGAGCCAACAAAGGCATGACAGCACCATGCCAGTAAGAGTTTCCTGACAAGTCCCAGTAACAGACAAAAAAGTTCCAAGCCACTCAGAGCTGTTAGCTTTAAACTAAGAAGCCTACATCAGATTTTAGCAGAGCAAGCTGTCTGCATGCCAGACTGCCATATCTCATGCTGACCTAAGCATAAGCAATAAACTCCATTCAATATTGCATTCTGCATTGCTTGTCACTGCACTTTCATCCTGCCCACAATATAGCACTCTAGACAAAAGTTTCCTGATAGTGGTATCACTAAGTATAACATGTGCCTACAACCAAATAACGTCAGCATAACAGCTGTATTTCTCCATACGAGCTGACACTGTTAAGCAGAGGACAGGGTAGTGCTGAGGAACTTAGTTCAAGAGTTGAACTCTGCTTGGTCCTTTGGAATGCCCCATAAGCACTTATCACATGCTATTCTCATTCAGCATTGATTTCCCTTCCAATGAGCTAGCACATACTCCGAGATGCTGTTCAGCAGATCAAGATGAGCTTTGACTTTTTGCTCATATGGGCTCCAAGTTCTGATTTTTTTTATCAAGAGGCTACACAGTCCTTGGCCAGCTGCAGTTCTAAGTGATTAAAGCATCATTGGAAGAACTTACACTTACAGCAATCAGTACACACTACAAACTGCTGTGCAGCAGTAAACTATGTTAGATCAGACAAGTTCACCAGTTACTTTACATGGTCCTTCATTGACACAGCAGCAATGTACATAATTGAAACAGTTTTAATAGTATTTTAGGCAGCAGATAGGAGCAGAGCTAGAATTATCCTACAGATTCCCCTCCCAAGAGGGCATATGAAGTCAGCTGCTTCCCTGTCCCTCTGTCCCAGGGACACTCTAGGCCAGAGTTGGTAGAGCTGAGACCTGTAGTGCTACAAACAAGTGTATTCCAGTTGCCAAAAGCAAGAACTGCTCAGAGGGTCCTGATACACCTAGATTTCAGCCAGCAGTCATTAGCACCAATTACAATGATGATCTTCTAAAACTAGCAAACACCCCAGTACAACATGATTTTGAATGCCATTATCCAAATGCTAGTCTAACAATTTTGGGTCTTATTCTGTGACATATAGTGACTAGACACCTCAAAAGAGCATATCAAGTGGACGGATCCCCAGGATGAGATCATCATTATCATTCTCATAAGCACATATTTCTCAGATGAAAAACAGTCCAGATAGCTAAAAATAAGGAGGGGACTCATCCTGTTAACGATTCTTCTGTATCCAATACAGGAGCAGTGCAATCTTGTAAAATTTAACACTACTGGAAGAACCTAAAAGTCTTTTGGAAGACTTACTGAAACTTCAGTCAGTATCTTTACAGTCTATGGGTCTAAGGTCCAACATCAGCCTGCTGTTAAAAATGTCTAACACTGTTTGCAGGTGCTCTGTTCATGTTCAGTTAGGAAAGTATTTAAAATACATTTAATACATAGTCCAAAATGTAACACAACATACTTAACTGATCTGGATACCAAGGTTTACTATAAACAAAGGTTCTAACAGGAAGCTCAGACTGTGTAGCAGGAAAGACTTATCCCATACCCCAACAGACTACTGTCTTTCTAGGTCACTACCTCCAAAACCCTTATGTGGTGATCCTGACCAGAAGACCATCAGACATCCAGGAATTAGTGATCCACACAGTTATCCTGAGAGCATCCACGTCTGCTGTGCTATGCTCTACACTCAGCTTTGCCTATCCTTGGGCTTCAGGATAAACACAGCCAGTTGACTGTAGCCTGTAGGCAGTTCCCACTTGGTAGTGGCGATTACACCACGTACATGACCTTGTCCTTATCTAAAAGTGCAGCAAGAAGTTCTCATGTGAATATCCCTTTTGTTTGGCAGTGGAACCAAACAGCTTGAATAAATAAAATGGGATAACACTTCCATAAACAGGATCTGCAGAGTGCTGCACACTGACTGGATGCCTGCTAGATGCTGCAGAGCTTGGGGCTCCCACCATCTGAAGGGACATAAGATTATCTATCCTACCCTCTTTGTTTACACTGGTAGCTCTAATAAATAGCATTTTAAATGTCATTTTATGAAGTATAAGTGCCTTTCTTACTGGGATCATAAGATGCCAACCTGGTGCAAAACACCTTGTCTTCTAAAGAGACTTATACTAAGCTGAAATGGAGATGCTCACATACCTTTTGTTTCCCAATATCCATAAGTTGGGTTGTGCCTCCCAGTCGCTCAATATCCTTTGCAGCAGCCTCCATCATGCGTCTGATTTCAGCCCTCTTCTCCGGCCATGCTGACACACTTTGGATTGCCACCCACTGAGCCAGCCGCTACAGAAAGACAGAAAAGCTAAAGGTTTTACTACACATGAATTATAGCATGGGAGGCACTGTACAAATACAAGACCTTGCAATTCAACTAATACTGTTTTAGTCAAGCTTAAACTTGAGGCAAATCAGCTCTGTCCACCACGCAAAGTACTCTAACCATTAATATTACACTCAAAAGCTCTGTAAAATCTCACTTTCCTACAGGTGCCCCTGCAGTGTAGCACAAGGTCTACAGATACATAACATAAGCTTAGGAGTATGACAGCTTCTGCATACTGTGCCTTTCTGGTTACTGTTCTTTAAGTACCGAGAACCAGCTAATGTCTTTCAGGCTTCTCAAAAAGGCCACCTTAGCTTTTCCCCACACCATGTGAGATCAGTGAGAGCCACTGGCAGAAGTCAAGTTGAATACTTGGCCTAGTTCTTGCCTGGGAGTTTACAGTGCTATACCACTGACTCCTTCACAGGTGAATGGGATTGCAATACAAGATGCAATTAAATAGCAGGTTAAACAGCAAAGTACATAGGTAACCTCTCCCTCTGTACTCCAACATGAGCAGTTTCATGAGAAAGCTTTATTCCAGCACTGTTTATACCTTTCTTATCTCAGATGGGGAGAGACAGTATGAACCTAGCTGGGCATTCAGGAACCAGTGTCAAGCATCTTGTGCCTCTAATAAGTCACTGCTTGCACTATACAGTAATAAAGCATTTCCTAAACTGCCATGGAGATTTAAGTCTTTGAACAGAACTATGCCTAAACTTAAGAAACAAAGTTTTCTGGCTTAACTCAAATCAGTTACACCTGCTGCCTGCTCCACCCTCTCTCCAATTACTCAGCATTACTCTATTATTGGGCACATTATATAGGTGTATGAACAAGCTTGAGGCTGACCACCTAACTTTTAATATCCCATAGCTTTCTGTGCTGCAGGACAAAATTCAAAGAAAACTTACCTGAATATAGAGGTCCTGGTGTTCATCAATGTATTTAAAGAGGGTTTTAAGAGCAGACATTTTCTGACCAGAGCAGTGTTGCTGAAGATTCTGTGACACAAAAATAATTTAACCTTCACAGGTTTAAGCAACAGTCAGTAATCAAGAAGCCACAGAAGACTTTCACCTTTCAACTGTGAATGCCACACACCAAGCTGTGCGAATATAAAACTTGAGGCCACTCCCCCTCACAAAACCACATGGTGAAGTCGGTGAAAAAAAGCATATTTAATCTTAACACCACTGTTCTGCCTCTCCCTGCAAAGTAACTTTGGAAGGTAAACTGAGCAAGCTTGTCTATAGAGATACTTCAATCAAGTCATGTATTTAACTTTACTGCAAAATTACAGGAAAAATGTTACTCAAGTGAAGTCTACTCTTTGAAGTTGCATTTTATTGCAAGAGTTCAACTAGTTGTGTGCCACAGGCTCGAATGCTAGCAGCTAGATCCAAGAAAGCACCGCACTTACTTTGTGATCTACAACAGAGGTTAAAAGCTTGCAGCTAAAGAACTGTTTTCTTCAGTCTCAACATGCCACTCCGTCTTCCTGAAGAAGGTCAGAGAAGCCACAGGAACAGAAACCAGCCCCAGCAGGCCATGAGCAAGTGGTCAGTGACTAACTCAGCACTACCACTTCCTTGGTTTGTTTTAGTTTCAACTGAAGTTCATGTGAGAAAATCCACGACTTCTCTCCTCAGTTTTCTGTCTTCCTTACCAGTCCAAAGTCCATATTTAAAAGACATACTATCCACTCAACCAACAAAACCAACAAGCTTAAACTCAGTTCTCAAGTTAGAACTACAGATAAGCACCTCCTCTAAGCCAGGAAAATAATGAGCTTTACAAATATGCCTCTGAAATCCAAGTGCCTAGACCATAAGAAAAAAACTCTGCTGTCCACGTAATACACTGAACAAGCATGTTCAGCAGCATCAACAGCTGTGATTCGGTATTTTGTTCAGTCAGCTTTATGCCAGATCCTTTAAGCCATTCTACTTCTATGTGGAAGTCACAAGACAAGTATGATAGTTAAGACACCTGACTGTTTGTCTTAAGATTTCTTGAACAGCTGACTACACAGCTGAAGTGAATACTTTCAAGCTGCAGGTTGGCCCACACAACATACTGCAATACAAGCACATCTTACTACCCCAAATCTGCAAAAGACTTATTACAGAACACATTTTCTTTCAAGCAGGGTTGTACTTACACAGATCACTGAAGTTTGACATACCAAAATCTGTTCACTCACTGGAGGTGGCTTCCATTTAATTTACAGCATCCATTAAGTTTAAATTTGGATGACGAGTTTTAATCACCAATTAGAACAACCTCAAACCTCTGGACAGCTCGAGCATTCTCTTCAATTGTCATGAATGGTAAAAATTGAATGCCTTCAAAAGGCCTATATTGACATAACCAAGTTAAAGCAATGCTTCTGACTGAAGCCTGGTTTCCCTATCAAAGCCAGCATCCTCACTTCCAGTCAGAGCTCAGGCACGAGTCATCTGGAGCTTTTCAGAGAAACCAGCACACAGGCCTCTGACCCTCCCCTTCACTCAACCAGTTTCTACAGCAACATCAGGGCTTTAGTTTCACAGCACAGACACAAAATACAACATGTTACATGGAGGATGATATTCTGTCCAACACAAACAAGATCTGAACTACTTTAAGTATCACCTTACACAGTTAAACATTCTTAAAAATTAGAGGGGCATTGACTCATTCAAGTCTTACTTTAGAGCTGCAAAAACAAAATTCTGCCCGAGGCAGCTTTAAGCTTGGAAAAGCAGATGTAGCTTACTGCAGAGCACAAGGCTAGGTACTCCTTCCCCTCCCTTCTTAAAAGCCAGGGCTAGAATTTCCTGTAGGTCCTACAGGCCAAAGAACTGAATCCTTCCTACCTGTGTGGAAGGGGCTCTACAATTCTGCCTTTTCACAGCACTGTAACAGCTGCATTATGAAATCAGATAACCCAAGGGACTATCGGTGCACTATGACAACTTCACCCTCCTTACCCACAGGCAAGCAGAGTACCCCAGATAACAGCATTTAATCAGGGTAGGAGAGGTCCCCACCGCCCCCCCCACAAAAAGCCACTAAAAGCAGCAACACACAACCCCACATCCACACCACAAGCCCTGCTCTTTGAGCACAGGTTGACTTAAAAGGTTAAATTAGGGACCGCACAAGGTTTTGCGGCGAATGGGACAGTTCACCGTAGCCCCCAGAGGAGTAAGCCTCAGGGCATGCCGCCGGCTCCCTAAGGGCCGGGAGAGGCTCGCAGGGAGAAAGGAGAAGCGTGGGGAAGGGGGCAGCGGCAGCCTCCCCGTGAAGAGCAGCAACGACGCTGCCGCGCCCCGGGAGATCCGGCCAGGCCGAGACACCAGGTCGGG